TACTTACTAAGATTAACTATAAACAGGTAACTGTCTCCCTTGTTTTCAGTAGTATTATTAATAAAAAACTTCCATTAAAACAAAACTACCATAATTTAACTAAAAACCCATTAAAAACTTTTCTTTCCATTGTATCTTCATTCTATTTCTGTAAATGAAAATATTTAAAAAAATTTGTTTAACACACAAAACCTCCAATTGCACCAATAATAATTAAAATATTGATTACAAATCGGTTGCTAGGTAACGCTACAATGGCGGATACTGGCCAAGTTATTAGCTAACGCGGCCCTCACCTTGACAGCGGCGCGGGCGCCGACACTGCGGCCATCGCGCGGTCACTGTTACATCACTGATATATTGTGATAACTCGATACTGTATCATTTATTTGTGAACCATAATTAAATTATCACTATGATTATGGCAACATTTATAACAAATATAACACCATTTAGGTATTTCCCGAAAAGGGGGACAGAGATGTATATTATTACATCTTCATTTACTCAGGTATTTGGTTAATAAATTGATTCAACACACTAAAACAAATATGAACCATGACTGCGGACGACCTAGCGGGTTACCGGGGCTCTGTGTCGAAGCAGGTCTAGGAACCGGGTGGTTTTTAGTCATTATGGAGTATGGCACTCCCTCTCGCCTCAGCCAAGGCGAGAGAAGTCATTTTTTTATGGCATAAGCCGGTAAACGAGCAGACGTATCATGGTAAACAATCAGTGCTGCCCATGGACACCTGAAACACCGGAGGCGTTACAATTGCGTTACACAAGCTAATTTCAAACACGAAAAAATGCTTCAATTGAGCACTTGTTACTTGTAGCATGAGTATCGGAATGTTGCTCAAAATTAGCATTTATTTCGGACACGTTTGCGAATCGACAGACGTTCGATTTTTAAACGTTTTTGAGCGTGCTCCAACTTGTCAGCAACAGCAACTCCTGTTAGCATTAGGTACATTAATCCTATTGTAGTGCATCCTGTGATGCATCCTGCCTGTGCAATATGTATACAATATGTCCCTCTGCATTAATTTAGTTGAATTAGTTCAAAACACGTTGTGTTTAAGGAATAGGGTAGATGATGATTTTTACTTAAATGTCCGTCTGGTAGATTATTTAAAAACATTTGAAATATTTGAAATATCGAGTGACGTCACTTTTGTGTATATTTTATATTCAAAAATGACGTGACGTAGCTAGCTCCCACTCCCAAACTTTGATTCGTTTTATCTAAGCATTGTTTTCTTATACCCACGACAAAATAAAAAAAATACGTGACTAATATTTTTTCATTATCTAACTGACGTCCTAATAAGATTTTATATTTTTCATGGGTATGGATGACAGGGTTGTCATCCATATTGTAATAAGTCAAGTTTATTGCACAACCCATATAAATACCTATTATTATAATTATACCCACAAAATATGGCATTTATAATCCAATTTAATATTTTAACTAACATTTTATGACATTCATTATTTTATGGCACAATATATAAACGACAATTAATCTCTAAACCTAAGTAATTATAATTGTATGTCATCTAGGAAGTCTAATGGTTGCAAAAACATTATTTTATATATATATATTACAGGTAGGTACAATATACACAAACGGTAATAATATACAAAATATACTCAATAGATTTAAAACCCTATTTTCAAAATTATAAAGATCAAAATGTACTTCATTTGAAACCAGACCCCACTGGTAAGAATAAAAAAAAACGGGTGTCTCAGCCAACCGGCTAGACAACTAAGTAACATTTATTTTAGATTTATATATATAAAAAAATTACTTAGTTTTTTCGCACTAACAAAACTGGCCGCTAAGTATGTTATACATTTTTTTTATTATATAATATTTATATGTACATTTCCGTGTTCTTTATCACGTTGTAATAGACTCATGTATACCCGACCTTAGATAATTAAAAAAAATCACATTTTTGCAAAATTTTAATTTATTCTCTAGGAAGTCGAGTTTTTGAATAAATATTATATATGTATATTAATTTGAGTAATTAAAATATTCTAGATGCAGTTTCTTGTACACTTAAACACATTTAACATATCAAACCTCTTGAAGCCAAAGAGGGTAGGCAGAATATCTAATTTATAAACAATTGTTATATAAATCCTATATATGTGATTATAGACTACATGTTCATACATTTCTTTTAAAATCGTATAAAAAAACCTCATTAGTACTTTGCTCAACCCATTTGGCCAACAATATAATTATAGTATTTACATTATAGTGTTTTTAATCAAAGACTATAGTGAATTTTGTAGCAATTATATGTATTATTATTATATACTTACAGATGACTTGAAAAACTGACCTGTATTGAAATATTACAATATAAACAAGACAATCTATAATTATCATTTTCACCCTTCAACGCAACAATAACATAATTTATTGCACAGTAAATTGCTCTTTATTCCATATTACATAAAGACTGTCTTCGTATGTAACAATTCTATAATCAAGTAAATAAAGAATACAAAGACATTCCAGTAATATAACAAAGTAACATTGTCACTAATGTGATTACGTAAATAAATAGAAATGAATAGATAATGAATAAACACAAAAACATATAAGTATATGTAATTAATGTATTATTCACTAGGAAGTGGACTATGATTAGTGCAATATATATACGCATAATAATATATGAACATACATACTGACGTACTGGTGTATTTAGACAAGACACCTACAGCAGCAGCGCGACAGTCGCCGCGTAGCAGGTCGCGGAATGCTGCTCATGAATATGAGCCTCTAGCATGGTTTGAAACTAGTCGAGTTCCTCGTCAAATAATTACGTGAGTGAGCCGAAAACATAATAATTCATTAAGACACATCTATACTATCTATACTAATATTATAAAGAGGAAAGATTTGTATTTTTGTATGTTTGTAATGAATAAACTCAAAAACTACTGAACCGATTGCAATAATTTTTTCACCATTCGAAAGCTGCATTATTCAGAAGTAACATAGGCTATATAATATCACGCTAGGTCCTATAGTTGTGGAGCAGTAACCAAAAATGTTTTAAAAACGGGGGAAAAGTATCGTTTCTGAGGCCTTCCGTGGCGTGCGCTGAGCATATAGTTAAAGTTATACAAAAATGTTCTATAGATGAATTGTTTATCTTAACATTATTTTTAAAAAAGTCCGCGAGAGCATATGTCTACCTTTTATAGTTTACCCATAACAATCGTTTTAATGAATGGTTCAATCCTTATAAAAGTTTGCTCTAGATAACTTTTGAATTGTTCAATCGGTTACCTTAAGACGCGACATCGACAACGGAGGGCAGGTCGCTAAAAAAAAAACTGAGAATAAATATAAATAAAACGTAAAACTATGTAAAAAATCTTAAGTCCCCCCGTGCGAAGCCGGGACGGGCCGCTAGTATTATATATTCGTAGATATATATGACAAAAGTACCCGTCACAATACTAAAACAATATGTTATTTTACAATAATGTACAATAATATATACGTAAGTATATACACAATCCATTTTAATTCCTGAGGGACAGGTCATATCTCTGGTCCACTTATTATATTCGTATACTCTATAACATATTTGGTAAAAATTTTACTTTGCAATAGTTCTATACTATAAAATGGTGTGAAAATGCTTAGTCGTAACAAATTGAGTCTAGGTTAGTGATGTGTGATAAGGGCCTTCTTGCCTTGTTTCAACTCTTCGATAAAGCAATCCAACAGCTAACAATATAATGTGGATGCCCAATTATCCACACCCCCTTTCCCCAATCTCTGAATCCTCAACAATCGTCAAATTCTTAATCCCCAATAGGCCGGTAACGCACTTGTAATGCCTCTGATGTTCCGGGTGCCAACCATCAGGTGATCAGGATCATCCCATAAAAATATCACAATATAAAAATAAATATCAGAATATATTTTTTAATTAGGATTAAATTACCTTAACTACACAATATACAGTGAACTATATGACACCCATATCATAATTATCACTCATTAATTAATAACACTGCATTAAGAATTCAAATTGCGATAGTGAAAACATCTTAGAGAATAAATAACTTGATGGTATTAATCAATAATACGTTTTTTAACATAAAAAATGAGAGTAGTAGTTTTTTAACATAATGAATTGTGTTGAGATTTCTTAACTAGTTAATCGTTCTCTATAATCTTTTATAGAGAACGATATAAACGACGAACATGCAGGCGGAAAGTTAGTAAAAAGTTGACTGGTTCTAAAATAAAATCATTCGATTATTTTTTTTGGTTTTTATTAGGTAGGTAAGTAGGTAGGTAAAATTAAATACCGTCTAGACAACAATTAAATATTATGACTTTATATATTCCACGAGTAAATATATTGTTAAAATGGTCAGCTAAATAACTAGTTATATATAAATCAGGTACTTATATGATTGGTTCGTCAGTCGATAACATTCCTCTCAATATCCTTTAGGATGCAACCTCTCAATCACTTAAACATTTCAAAGCCATTTTGTTAATGGAAATACTTTTCTTTAAGTTTAATAAAACTTTTTTTGTAACTGTTAGAACTTCTAATACAGTTAAACAACTCAATGGTAAGGTTTTTTTTTGTTAAAACTACAATTGTCAGATCTTACATTACATATACATATTATATACACATACATAACCTTACGCCTGTCTCCCATGGAGGTACGCAGAGACTATGGACCGCTAATTGCTACAATTCTCACATACCTCTTTCGTTTCATCAACAGTCATAAAATTTTTCATTACATTACACTTCGTTGTTTTTCCATGTTTGTAATTTCGTCAATGGAAACAAATAGAACATTCCAAACGACCAAATATCAATTTAAAATGAAGGTTAATATTAAAAGAAAACTGGGCTAATACCTGTTGTCACGGCACTTATTGATATTTAATTACTCAGGAACAATTTCAATCAAACACAATGTCACTAATCACTCGTATATTTTAATAAATACTCATTTATCTTAGGGAATATGGTATCACTGGTGTATTGACTGTACGTCACGTCCATGTGGTTCCAGTTAGGGTCCTCCACTTTCATAGACTCTATCACATTCGGTAACTTCTTCACCAGCCACTCCACGTCTTTAGTGTCCACTAAACCATCGTTACTACCGTAAATACAAACGAAAGGAGCCGTGACCGCACTGAGATTGTACTTCGGAGGCTCCTCACTACCATACAACACTAAGTTTTTCTCCTTGCCGTAGTTGAACTTCTCAAACCTTCTACTCTTCGTGCTCTGTCCATACCGCGCCATGTTATGCAGCGATGTCCCCGCGGGGAAGTGTCCGTACAAATTCCTCGTCGTCTCATTTGTAATTGAGCCCAAATGAGAGGAATGCACATAGTCGAAAACGTCCAGAACCTGCTCGCATAGCTGCCCAGTTAAATCTGACAGTTGACAGAAGAAAGCGACGAACTCTTGACTTATTGAACCCTTAGCAAATATTTCCACAAGGCCATAACTCTCCAGTGGTCCTTCTAACACCTCAAAGGCTTGTGTTACACTTCTAAATAGTTTTGATTGAGTGTTAAATTGTCTGGCAGCTGGAGCTAGACCGATCAGTAGCTGCACTTTCTCACAGTAACCAGGTCTTTCAGAGCACATCACTAAGAAGGTTCCGGAGCCCTGTGAAAATCCGATATAGTTCAGCTTATCAAACCCTGTGTGCTCCAGTACATGGTCTATCAATGCTGGTATGTCGTAGTACCCGATCTCGTCGATATAGAACTTCCAGTACTCGGTATCTTTGTCAGGGTCCAGACGTACATGGCCCCTGGAGTAGTAGTTTCCTCTGACGTTGCCCAGCCAGAGATCGTAGCACGCATCAGAAATCAGGTAAGCCAGTCCAGCATTCGGTCCTGAGTCTATGAAGGAGTCGGAGCTCTGCAGCAGGCCATGCACTAGCAGTACTGGTGGTGATCTCTTCCTTTGATGGCAGTTCCTCGCCTGTACGATCCGGAACATGGTGAGGATGTAGCCGTCGTCGGTGACTACCTCATGTTCCTCTGACATGTATCCGTACTTCGCGGTGAGCTCGGTGAAATTGAGAAGGGAGTCTTTTGGATACCCGAGTGACGCCTTGATCTCCCTCCGTATGGGCAGCAATGGTGTGCGCACGACGTACCCGACCGCGACCACGGCCAAGGAGGCGAGAACCACTTTAAACGTGTTAAATCGTTTCGACGCCATGTTATCAACTGACCGGAGCACCTTCGCAAATAAACTAATCTATATGACATATGTATACACACCACAGCACCGTATGTCCGCGCGTCCGTCTCCGAGGAATCGAGTGAAAAATATATCCCGTCCTGTTTGTGATTTGACTTTGGTTTATCATTCTGTTCTTTTTATATTTTCCTTCCTGTTAATTGTAATAATTATCTAATTGCCGTTCGTTTAACTAAGTGCTGAGTCACTGTAATGATATAGTTATTAGCAGGTACTTGCTAATTAAGGGTTTCATTTTGCGTAATCATTCTTCTTTAACTAATAGTCCCATAGAATTAACTACAAGTTTAATTAACAAAAAAATATTATAATAACATTTAAATAGTTTCATATCAATAAGACAAAATGGCACGAGCAATGGCATAGCTCTGACTAGTCTAAAATGACGTATAAATAAAAAAAATACACGTCACACTGTTGTCAGTTCGTACTCAACATGATATGACGCCATGTGGCTTCGTTCGCTACATTTTTTCATTTCGATTCCGCATAATACAATATGTAAAGTGTAAACAATATTGTAATTATATAAAAAGGTTAACATAGAAAAAATTACATAATAAATAATTTAATTATTTAACACTACGTTAAGTACCTTCATTGTATTGTTTATTATCTATTATAATATATTCGTTATCAGTTAATGTAACGTAGATACATTTACATAAACATAAATAGCCCTTGATTGTTAACACGGAAATCGTATTTTCGTGTGTAGAAATTTTATTATAATGGGACCGAAAGTTGGAGAAAAATGAAATATATAAAAAAATTAGCTTCTACCCGCGACTTCGTACGCGCGAATTCGTTTTCCCCGTTTCCGTTCGTGATTTATGGGAAAAAGTTAAAAAAAGAAATATCGAATAAAAAGTATCCTATGTCCATACCCTGGTTCTAATCTTTTTCTCCACCAATTTTCATCCAAATTTGATTGAGCCATTCTTGAGATATAAATAGTGTAACTAACACGACTTTCTTTTATATATATAGGATGTAAGTTGCTTATGCCACGATGTTTTAAAATCACTGTTAATTCTTAAAACCAACATATATCTACAGGAGATTCAACCATGAAAATACTTGAACACTGAAATCCAGTGCGTCCCAGGGTCATGAACAACTCTTCTTGGATTCCTCAACGAAATATATCAGATCAAAGATATGTAACAGGAAATTATGACGACCATCATCGTCATCAGCCACTCTCCATACGTCTCCCATTTAAATGGTTGTCTACACGATCGAAGCTAGGTCATCTAAACTTTAAAAGATGCCCAGAGTCTGTGTATAATGTTTTAGATTTATACATAAGTAGATAATTACATATAAGAACTGCCTCGTTGGCCGAGTGGTCGCAAGTGCGACTGCCGGGCAAGGGGTCTCGGGTTCGATTCCCGGGTCGGGCAAAGTCTTACTGGGTTTTTAAAAAATCTCAGTAGTAGCACGGAGTCTGGAATTGTGCCCGGTATATGGCAATAGGCTCACCCTCCTATTACATGGGACTCATATCATAAATAGTGCAAAGTGGGTGTTACATTGTACAGTGGCATAATGTGCACCTCTGCCTACCCCTTCAGGGATAAAAGGTGTGATGTTATGTTATGTTATAATTATATGAACTATGTTCAATAGGGATAATGACAGGGTATGAAAATTAAAAATCTAATTTGTCCATCAGTTAGGTAATGAAACAATATTAGACACGTATTTTTTGTATTTTTTTGCATAATAAAATGATACTTAGATATAATGAATCAAAGTTTAGGAGTGGGGGCTAAAACGTCTTTTTACGTATAAAATGTACATATAGAAGTGACGTCACGCGATATTTCAAATCAATATATAGTCAAAGTATTCGTTTTTGTAAAAAAATACGTGTCTTATGTTTTAAAATAATCTACCAGACGGACATTAAAATAATAATTAGTCATCTACCCTATTGTAAATACATTAGGTACGTTTCGTTATAAATGGTAGCCGACGTCAATATTTTGTTTTAAAAACAAAATTTTCATAGACTGTATAGATAAATAAATAAATAGACTGTTTCATTTTATACAATACATACTATTTACGGAATAGTATTCTGTTAATCATAAATTTTATAAAACTAATATTATCTGAAAAATTGCATGGAAATACACAGTTTGTTGATAATTCCTACACACATCACTAGTTTAGGTATTTTAATTAATTAGAATAGTTAGGTACAAAGGTCTAGAAGCTAATGTATACGTATAATTTTTTTCTAACAATGTAAACAGTCACTATAATACATATTAATATATCAAGCTATACGTTATAGTATAGCTAACTAGCTGTAATAACTACCACAGACGAGAGCTATTCTATAATATATATTTTCAGTCAGCAATCGTATCGATATAAATACTCGATCGTATCACTCAAAATGTTGATAATATGCATTACTATATCTTGCGATATGCCGCGGAGAACCTAACGGGTTACCGGGGCTCCGGCTCGAAGTGCAAGAGAACGAACGGGGTGGTTTTTAGTCAGCAAGAGTATGACGCTCCCTACCGCCTCACCCGGGCGGGAGAAGTCATTCGATGATTTTCCCCCCATAGAAAAAAAAATCTTGCGATATTATAGCTAGGTCTGTGCCGGCGTTACATATTAAAGTATTGTCGAAATTATATTTCTATGTATAATATCAAAATTAAATTAATTAGTACTTTTATCACCATAATATCCGTGTCGTGAATCCAAACCATCCTAATGTTACTTTGTCTTCGGAGTCGCGGAGAACCTAACGGGTAACTGGGACTCCGACTCGACGTACAGGAGAAGGAACGGGGTGGTTTTTAGTCAGTAAGAGTCTGACACTCCCTCCCGCCTCACCCAGCCGCGAGAAGTCATTCGATGATTTTTCCCCCTTAAAAAAAAAAATGTTACTTTGTCTAAGCACCGCCACAAACAAACCAGTGAATATTATATGCAATTAAGTTTTTTATATAGAGCTATGTTCTAGAAAAACACATCTATTTTGCTGTGAAAAGGTCAACATCTAGTTAGAGAAATTGTTTTAATTTCATCTCTGTACAACATTATAACCGCGTGGGATTGAGTGCACGGACACAATATAAAAAATACCTTATTTATATTGTGTTTTGTAGTGCCGATGAAATGTTGAATATACCAAAACCCACGATACATAGATGGACTGAACAATTAACATAATATATAATAATAATAATAATAATAATACGTTTATTTGTTAGAATATTGTTACAAAGGTGTTACAAATAAATTAATGTTCTGAATATTCTGCTGTTTCCAGCGTACAAATATTAAAAGTTAGAATTAAAATAAGACAGGTAAAAACATACAATCAAAAATAAAAAATTGCATAATATGGACGATTAGTTATCACAATGTAGTAAAATTATTTTCGGTACAAAATTAAGATTATTCTTACAATTTATTTGAAGGATAATAAAAAGTCGTCTAGGTTGAATTTAGAGTTAAATTTTTCATTCAAAAAATCATTTGTTGAATAATAACATTTATGCAATAGAAAACAAAACAGCTTCTTTTTAAATTCTATAAGATTAAGGCTTTTAAAATCATTTGGTAATTTATTATAAATACGAATTGCCATACAGTATACATTATTAGAAAAAAGTTGAATTCTTTGTTGTGGTACACATAACTTATGAGTATGTCTGCTTTTTCTTATTACAACATTATTATGTGTTTGAAATAAACCTATATTTTTATGCACAAAGATACACAGTTCGAATATATACAGAGATGGAAGTGGTAGAATTTTTAACTTTTTAAAGAGTGGAACACAGCTATGTAGTGGGTCGACTTTACATATGGAGCGAATACATTTCTTTTGGGCTCGGAATGCTTTAATAATGTCTACGGAGTTGCCCCATACTATGATGCCGTAGCGGAGAATAGATGCTATGTATCCGTGATAGGCACAAAGTGCTGCATTAACACTTGGTATCCGGTTATACCTGGTACACACGGCTACACATCGAGCTTTACATGACCAGTATAAACTGAACGTTAAATGTGCGAAAAGATGATGCGACGCGACACCAGGATAAACTGGTTTTGTATAGATTGATGTGTGGCCGTGAGTTACAGTGTATTTGTTTCTATTGTGTGTCATATACCGGCACTTAAAGGGTTAAGGTAACACGTCTTGTTCATGAATAAACAATAAAAGCTTCGGTTAGACAAGATAGGCGACATATCACAGGTCTTACTGCTTATGACATTTTGTAGTGAAAAGTGGGTGTTATATTTTGTACTCTACACATATATGTGCGCCTAGGCCTGCACAGGACCTTATTATGGGATAACGAGCAGACGGATCACTTAATGGTAAACAATCGGCGCCACCCATGGACACCCGAAACACCAGAGGCGTTACAACTCTGTTATCGGCCTTTTGGGGAATCAGAATTTGAGGATTGTAGGGATTCGAGGATTGGGGAGTAATTGAGCCTCGGGTAACCTCACTTTCACGACGAAACATAACGCAACCGTTGTTTCACGTCGGTTTTCTGTGAGACCGTGGTATCAGTCCGCAGCAGCCCGGCAACTATTAGAGCATTTGATATTAATGTGCTGCTAGGCCTTTTTCACACGTAGGAAAAGTCTTCGCGTGTTAAAAGGTATGTATGACATCATATTATTTAGCGCTGGGTTGTCATTAACACATACAAAATTTTAAAAGAATACATAAGTCAGGTTACTATAATAATGTAATGTAAACGTCCGTAAGTTTACAAGACAATCGGCGAAGCGTCACCGATTTATAGTAGATGTTCCGCCCACATGCACGAAGCGCTTCGCATCAAGCTTCCTTGTGCGTGCTAAGGAGTGGAATTCTTTGCTTAGAGTCTGTATTTCCTAAAGGGTATAACGTGGGACTCTTCAAGGCCCGAGTGAATAGGTTGCTTATGGGACGACGTGCT